TGCTTCACCTTAAGTCCTCCTCTAACACACACCACAAATTGCTCCTTTGATCTGTGGGACCAAATTGCCACGGTAGAAATCAGAACAGTTTTGAAAAATCACCTTGGCTGCTTGCAGAGCTTGTCACCTTGTTCAGCCAGCACTTTTCCCCAGGAGCACATCTCAGCACTGCCCTGCTCCCAAAATCCCAGCCACAAAGCCTCTGCCACACCTCTCTGCTTACCTGGGGTCTGCTCACAGTGTGGACACCACAGAGCATGACCACTAATGGTTGTTCACGCAGCAAAAGGGCAGCTAGCCGCTGTGCTTGTTATACTGCACCTCTTCGGGGCAATCTGGTGGCAGTGAGACCCCCGTGAGTCGTTAGCTCTGCACTGTCCCTGCTTGACTTCAGCACCACATGGCTGTCGTGCGGCAGAAGAGAGGCCACAAGCTGCTCCACCAGGACGTCCCTCCTGTCCTGCTTTCCAGAAGGGATGGACAAGGGGGTCTCTGTGCAGGCACAGTGCCTAGCCACCACCCTGGGCCCTGGCTGAAGGTTAAGCTACACACACACAAACCAGGCTCCCTGCTGCGAATCCATCTAGCACAAAGCTGCACTTGATGGGTGCGTGCAAGAGCTTTATCATAGAATCATAGAATATCCCGAGTTGTAAGAGACCCATAAGGATCATCAAGTCCAACTCCTGGCACCGCACAAGTCTACCCAAAAGTTTAGACCATGTGACTAAGTGCACAGTCTGATTGCTTCTTAAATTCAGACAGGTTTGGTGCAGGGACTACGTTCCTGGGGAGTCTGTTCCAGTGTGCGACCACCCTCTTGGTGAAGAGGGCCAGCCTTGATGGCCAGCCTAAACTTCCCCTGCCTCAACTTAATACCATTCCCGTGGGTCCTATCACTGGTGTTTACAGAGAATAGGTTACCTGCCTCTCCACTCCCCCTCACGAAGAAGTTGTAGACTGCGATGAGGTCCCCCCTCGGCCTCCTCTTCTCCAGGCTGAACAGGCCCAGTGCTCTCAGCCGCTCCTCATACATCTTCCCTTCTAGGCCCCTCACCATCTTCGTTGCCCTCCTCTGGACACTCTCCAACAGTTTAATGTCCTTCTTGTACTGTGGTGCCTTTGTTAAACTTCATGTGGTTTAGTGATCGCCCAGCTCTCCAATCTGTCCAGATCTCTCTGCAAGGCCTTTCCACCCCCATCAGAGTCTACAACTCCTCCAAGTTTGGTGTCATCAGCAAATTTGCTCAAAACATGTTCTAGTCCTACATCCAAATCATTTATAAAGACATTGAAGAGGACTAGCCCTAAAATGGAGCCTTGAGGGACCCCACTAGTGACCATCCACCAGCCAGATGTGGCCCCATTTACCACAACCCTTTGAGCCCTGCCCATCAGCCAATTGCTCACCCATCGTATGATGTTTTTGTTAAGTTGTATGCTGGACATTTTGTCCAGTAGGATCCTATAGGAAACCATGTCAAAAGCCTTGCTGAAGTCCAAAAGGATCACATCAGCTGGTTTCCCTTGGTCAACTAGATGGGAGATCTTATCATAAAAGGAAATCAAATTTGTTAGGCAGGGCCTACCCCTCATGAACCCATGTTGGCTGGGACCAATGACTGCATTGTCCCCCAGGTGCGCTTCAATAACTTCAAGGATCATCTTCTCCAAAATTTTACCAGGCACTGACATGAGACTGACAGGCCTGTAATTGCTGGGGTCTTCTTTCTTACCCTTCTTGAAAACTGGGACAACATTTGCCAGCTTCCAGTGTACTGGAACCTCTCCAGATTCCCAAGATCATTGAAAAATAATTTGGAGAGGTCCCACATCAGCTAGCTCTTTAAGCACCCTGAGATTGATCCCATCTGGACCAATGGACTTGTATGGATCCAGGTGGAGGAACAAATCCTGCACATGTTCAGTCTGTCATTCCCACTGCCATGGTCCTCCCGCTCAGGGCACCCAGCTGTCCCGAAACCCAACATCAGCACTGAAGACGGAGGTGAAGAAGGCATTAAACATCTCTGCTTTGCCTGTGTCATTGTCTGTGATGAGACCTTCCCTGTCAAGTAGCAGACCTATGTTTTCTTTGGTTCTCCTTTTTCTGTTCACATATCTAAAAAAACCTTTTTTATTGTCTCTCACAGACTTGGCCAGATTCAACTCTAGTTGGGCTTCGGCCCCACGAATTTTCTCCCTACAAACACGAACAGCATCCCTGTATTCTTTCCTCATTGCCTGACCCTCCTTCCAGCAGCTGTACACTTTCTTTTTCCGTCTAAGCTCCAGCAGAAGATCCCTGGTCAGCCAGGACAGCCTTCTGCCCCACCTGCCTGCCTTCCAATATTTTGTAATCACCTGATCTTGTGCTTTTAGGAGTCAGTGCTTAAAGATTGACCAGCACTGATGGACGCCAATGCCTTCAAAAGCAGCTTCCCAGGGGACCTTGCTGACTAGTTCCCCAAGCAGCCTGAAGTCTGCTTTCCCCATATCCGGGGCTGAAGTTTTGGTGGCAGTTTTCCTTCTGTCACCATAAATTCTAAACTCAACCACTTCATGGTCACTACGACCGAGATGGCCGCCAATTGCCACGTCTCCCACAAGACCCTCTCTGTTTTCCAGCAACAGATCAAGGAGGACACCTTTCCTAGTTGGCTCCCTTAGCACCTGCACCAAGAAGTTATCATCTAGGTGCTTTATGAACCTCCTGGACTTGCTCGTGTCAGCTGTGTGGTGATCCCAGTTGACGTCTGGCAAGTTGAAATCTCCCATAATGACAAGGGGAGTTGATCACGAGGCATCTCTTAGTTCCGCAAAGAATAATTCATCAGCATTGTCGTCCTGGCTGGGTGGTCTGAAATAGACTCCCACAACGACATCCCCTTTATCTGTTCATCCCTTAATCCATACACAGAGGCTCTCAACTTTGCCATTCCCAACTTGAAGTTCCACGCAGTCCAGCCACCACTTTGGTGCTGAGATTTTTGACTGTGTTTATGAAAAAAAAATAAATATCCCAAATTCCTTATTTCCCCCCTGCAGATGTACAATGTTGTCCTGGAACTATCTCAGGGAGTGGAGGGGTAGATAGGAGAGCTGGAGCCTCTCCATGCCTATGGCACCAGCTGATCGGGTACATGGCTGTGAGCCCAAAAGGGCTGCTGTCTTCTCTCTAATGTGCACCCCACAGTGAGCTCCGGATCTGTAACAATTTTGCTTTCCTACTATCCATACTACAATGCACATGCACTCCTTATGCTCATCCCAGCCAAGATGCACAACGGGAGCATCCAGCACCAGGACAAGAAGTTGTGGAGCCTCCATCCTTTAACCTCAACTGGGCACGTTCATGAAGAAGCTGATCCTACCTTGAAGCACAGCCAGCTTTGAGCTGTGCAGATACACAGAGATTCCAGTGAGGACATCATTAGGCTAAGGTAGAAAAGTTGTGAAATATCATCTTGGCTCTTACACTGAGCAGCTTGACAAGTTGTTTCTGTGCAATCTATCTTTGTTCTCCCCTTTTACAAATGGTATAATTTAACTGAGATACAGTCTCATGAGGAGAGAGGCTGTCACAACCCATGCAGATGGCTCCTAGTGCCACAGTGCTTGGACCTCAGCTGGGTCCCTTCACGATACTGAAATACAAGGAATGCTTTGTACAGTTGAACTCTTCCGACTTTTTGAAATATAAATATATATACTATGAGTGTTTTTCATATGTTTTTAATCTCTGAGCCCTGTGAAATCTTCCAGTTGAGGAGAAGAGCCCTTCAGGAACTTGTCCCACTTAGACTACCACATAGCATATAAGAACTTTTGTTTCCTAGCCAGTTTGCAGATGCTGTAACGTAATTCCTGGACAGCCAGTGTCCACAGGTACCAGACTAAAAACCTGGTCTGAGATGTCTTCTAGGTTTCCTGGACCATAGAGGAAATGGGAACATCCATCATGTGATTCCACTAGACTAGATGACTAAATACAGGTCTGTAAGAGCAACAGGTTGGTGGACAAGGAAGATGTGGTTATGAGTCTTTTAAAGGTCAGTCTCTACTTCAGCTGATCAAAGATCCCCAGTAAAGTTAAAAGAAGCTGAATCAGAAGAAGAAAGTTAGGCTACAGAAGCATATTGCCAAGTTTCAAAGGATAAACCTTATGGAATTCAGATGTGCAATAAAAGCACTGCTATTCTGAGCAGCTGATGCTCTCAAGTGAAGCTCGGTGCTGGAAAATGGTGAGAACAGTCATTTCCCACGTCCTCTACAGCTTAGCTGCAGGAACTTCAGCTGACGTCTTTGGGCCAAAGTATATGAAAACACTTCCAAATGGGTGTTAGACTTGGTTTGCTGATGTATTTACAAAGTTTAGAGACTAATAGTATTTATTTCGCATTTTGCATGACATGCAGAATGGTGTCATAAAAATATACACTAGCACCTTCATGTGTTTAATCTGGTAGGATCCTGTTTATTTATTTGATAATAGCACGGCTACCACAGTTCTGTGCTTTCCCTTGTCCTGTTATCTATAAAAGTCTATTGCCAAATATTTAATAGATTTTAAGAATCTCCATTCTAACTCCCCAAATGCCTAATCGTTGTTTAAGAGCATCTAATATCCATCAGCTTCTATTTTTATATTAGATTCCCTTTTAAAATCACTAATTAATTTACTCTTCCTCAAAAAAAAAAAAAAAAAAAAAAAAAAGGCCTCTGTAGAATAATGATGCCCTCAATTCCTGCAAAAGAACTGCAAGCCTAGTTAGTGGCACTACATTTCATTCAGCACAGTCCAATTTCGAGATTGCATTTTAATAACAGGAGCACGGTCCTTATCCATTCTTCCCTGACTTCTCTTGTCCTTGATTTGCCAATTAGAAATAACTGCAGTAGAAGTGATACAATCCCACAATGCTGGTTTCAGACAGACTGTCACCTGAATAGCTATTAGAGAGCAATAAAAAGCTCATAAGGATTCTTTTTCCAATGAAGCATGTTGATGAAAACAATGAATGTTTTCATTTATTTATATGTATACATACTTATGAACACATACTCAAGTATTTTGTTCTAACACGAAGAAACCAATTACCTTTCTCTGTAACTGAGAGCCTCAAAAGGCACCAGGAAAGTACGAAAATGGTGATTATATTCTTAGCAGGCATTTCCATGGAGAATATTCCTACTTCTTTCAGCTGAAGTCTGGGACAGCAAAGAAAACACTCAATGTAGAAACCGGTCTTTAAGTCAAATTTGCTGTTTCCCAACTCATCCACAATGGAGCTGCACTTCAGGCTGCCCCATGCAATGGCACCCATCTCCCACCCACCAGCAAATTCCCTTGTGACCCACACCACTCTGGCTGTAAACGTCTCAAAAGCATCATGACTGCCCTACACCAAGCAGTCACGCAGACTGACTGCACATTTTCTTCCTTTTCCATTTTGGCTGGCTCCAGGCATCCTTATCAACTGGCCTATGACCACTGTCTCCCATGCCCCAAAAGTGCAGAGCCCACCAGTGCTTGACTCAGAGGGAAAATCACATCCTCTGCAGTGTGATCTCCAGGGCCACGTGCCTAATCTACGCCAGGCAGACTACAATGAGCTGGTTTTGTACACTAGGTTTGGCTTCTCCAATGCCAACCACATGCCAATCCACAGGTAAGAATAAAGAACAGGGCAAGCATGTGGTGATGACTGGCTCCTTGTCCTTCCCAGCTTCAGGCAACCAGTGGCTTAAGGACTCTGTGAGCAAGAGCTGGAGTCCTTTTCTTCAAATAGCTCCCCATGGATTTTTTTATGTTTCATATTTTCTTCCATGGGCAAGCATAGAAAGAGCAGCTCACTGTTTCTAAGTTCTAACTGGCAAAGAGCCAGGCCAGGGCTCTTGTATGTCATGACCATGATATACCTTGCACATCATGATTTGTGGCTGCATTTCTAATTTGCTTCAGGCCACTGCCAGAAGATGGCATTTAATCTGACAGTGCTGTGTGGGATTCAAGGTGATCCCTGCATGTAGGGCCATCTTTTTTGGCCTTGTGAGACCACCTGTGCTCAGCTTGAGGTGGCACCAACAAAGGATAGGGAAGAGGTCTGTTAAAAAAAAAAAAAGTATTATCCCTTGATTGGCATAGTGCATGCTCTCTCATGGAGAAGGGCTGTTCTCTCTGAAAAGATTTCCCCTTTTTTTCTTTGCCCTCTAAGAGAAGCAGCAATGGCCTGACTTTGAGGGCTTCACTCCTTCCTTCTCTCTGCCTTTGCCACACAAGGCCAGAGCAGCTCTTCTGCAATTGCTTAGCAGCAATGCATATTTTTTTCTTTTATTACACATCTGCGCTGTGGACTTAGTGCCTGGTGGGAAAGTGATTTCCTCCAGCCTTTCTTCCAGCAGCTCCAAGGCTGGGGAGGGATAAATAGAGGAGGCAGGGAAGGAAGCCAGGCTGCCAAAGAGGAGCAATTCACTCCCCCAACCCCCAGTTAGAGCCAGACTGCAGAGTCTGGGAAGAGCCTGAATTTTTTCATATAAGCAGCTCTCTTACAAGAGGAGGATAGAGAATCCTACCCGGGTTGGCAGACGCAGCCAGGTTTTGCTTCAGTGCTACAACAGCTCCTCCACATCAGCTGTCTCCAGAGAGTGGCTGAGAAGACGTGGGCAGGGTGCTTCGATGAGAAGGGGATGAAGAGTGAGAGCTGCCAAAAGAAGTCAGGACATACGGGATAAAATGGATGGAGCAGGAGCCCAAGTGGTGTCGGTGCAGCAGGGATGGTACAGCATATGGTCCTGTTGTGCTCTCCATGCTCTGCATCTACAGTAAAGCAATTCAGCAGAGGAGGACCTCCAATACTTGGCTGCCACGCCACCAAGCTACAGGAGTTTGGTGGAAACAACACCCCCAGAGGCAACAGGCACTTCTTTTTGGACCAGGACTTACCTCCAAAGTACTCATGACAGCTCCTGGCATGGGGACACTAAGGCATGCTTCCACAACCAGAACATAACAGCACAGTATTAATCACCAGATCTTGTGGAGACAAAATAATTCCGCTATCAGATACTACACCCTCAAAACCAGCAAGTTTTAAGTTCTTCATGATGTTGTCCACCCATCTGTCCAAGTTCCCAGCACAGATCTGCTTGCATATACCTCTAGTACAGGGCAGGACATCAGTTGCTGCAATGGTGCTGCTCCACGGAGGACACATTCTTGTTCCCTCTCAGATAGCTTAATTCCTAAATCTACTGTGTGTCACCTGTTAGAATGCCCTGGCACACCAGAGATGGGAAGGACAACAGTGACCTGTTGCACAGGGCCTTCTGGTGGCTTGCGGATCTCCCTGCGGTGTGGTCAAGGACAAGAGCAAGTCCTAGAAGTCTGCCCATGACCCAGGTGGGATGCTCCTCTGCTAGCGCTCTCACCAATCTATTCAAAATACTCTATCTGGAATAAAGGCTGTGCTGTGGGAAAAGCAATCCCTGTCACTTCGTAGGAGTGCAGGAAGATGAAAGACATCACCCGTTCGCAGTAAACAATTAACGAGGCCAGACTGTTCTCAGCTATTTTGGTCTGAGAGACTGAAAAAGATGGGTGCTCCTGATGTAACTGTCACTGAGATAATTTATTCTGCCACATTTTCCTTCACGTCTATGAAGTATTTCCCAAGCCATTTATCTACATGAACTATCACATACTTATAAACAAGGAAGCATGTGGTAGTTACCCAGCCATATACCAAACTCTGCTTCGTCTAAAGAAGATTCAACCCACTTTGGAGCGCCTTTAAAGCTTTACTCCTGCCTCATCCAAGCACTCAGTCACTTACACATCTTGAGCTGGCTTTCATCAAACTGAGATTAAAAGGACTCTCTCCACAGACAAAATCATAAAATTGAAAATGTCTCAATGCAGCTTCTGCATCCGAATATGAAGCTTCCCATTCAAGGGTGCACCAGCACTAATAACTTTTTTGCTGAAACAGCTACTTCTGTTTTATTCCTTTTAAATGTGTTACAGAGGCTACAAAACCCGGACCCATAGCACAGGGCATGTTTTTTAGGAACAGACCTACAGCATCCATACAGCACATTTCACCCTAGGAGGCTCCATGAATATACCAAGAATACAAATGATGTGGATGTGAAGTGCCCAGCTGTTTTCTCGTATTTTTAGCTTACAGACATTTATTGTGAATTCAGCATATAGAGGTCTGGCTATATCTCAAACCAGAGCTGAGTCAAAAGGATCTAAACATCTTTCTTTAAAAATCTGGAATATGTTGATTTCAATGAAATTCTGCCAAAAAGGAAACAGAGCATTTGCAGATAATGAATCCAGCCCAACTGGATGAGGCTGTCCATCCCCACCAAGAACAGACGGTCAATGTATTTTTTTGTTTTGCATTGAGTTCAGAAGTTCCAATAAATTATACAAAATATAAAAGTTGTGACTGGAGCAAAATTTCAGATTTACCAAAACAAAACATTCTCATCAACTAGAGCATTTTTTAAATTCAAATTTGGAAACTTTTCAGTACTTTTTGAAACACATTTCAAAACCCAAACAAAATAATGAGTTTTGGAAACGAGAGTGTAAAAATGTTGAAGAAAACAATGAGCAATGCTGTGTCTTCAGGTCACGACAACACTATGACTCATTTCTTTTTGTTCCATTTGTTTAGATTTCAACACCAATTGTTATTAGTTGCCTGATTCATCATCATTCTTGTGGTCTGTATGTGTTTAAAATGACAAATATAGTGATTCCTTGTAAACACACAAAGCTGTAAGAGATGGAAAACAAAGAACAAAATCAGAAGATCTCACCTTGATTCCTGCCAAATTGCTATTACCAAATTTTTCTTTGACACCTGCTGGAAACGCCCACTGCTGCAGCATCAGATGCTGAGCAGAGGTTGCCTTCAATGCATCCCTCCGTTCTAGAAAGGTTATGCAGAAGGGCCATTCTGAGGCTATTTGAGGGTTGGCAAGTCATACCAGCATGTTATGCATATTTTTTTTAATTTAGCTTTTAAAAAACAAAAACTAAAACAACACACAACTGTAAGTAACTGGGCAGCCTTCAAGTTTCTGCAAACCTTAAAGCAATGAAAAAGCAACTAAATCCCCTCTACAATAAAGCCTGGGCCACATCCTGGCTCAGCTTCAAATTATACTTGTAAAGTGTGAGCCAAATCCCTAAAAGAAAATGGAAGTGTTTCCATCCACTTCCATAGGTTTTAAATCAGCCTTAAGTGTGGTCCCCCATGCCATACTCGGCAGCAATTCACCTGGGAGATGCCAATGCAGTCAGCAAACACCAGGGCAGAGATTTCAATCAGAATGCAATAGTAAAACTTTATTTTAATTAGAAAGATGCATTCAGGTGCAAAAGGATCTGCTCCTCTGAGGCACGTGGAGAGCTCTGGGTCTGAGAAGTGCCTCTGAGCTCTGCTTCATTAGTTTAACTATGAGCTGCTCATTGATCTTTCCTGTAAATGAGCAAGCTCTAGCACACTGTTAAGCAGAGTTATGCACATTGTGCTGGAGGCAGAGAAAAAGCCTGCCTGGCTGCCCACATCCTTCTTACTGCCATGGGCAGCCTGGATCGGAAAAGGCTGGGGTTCTCCTCCTGCCTCCTTGGCATTTCTATGCACTGTTAGCTTTCTGTCTGAGCACAGAGATCAAGACTCTTCTGCCATCACTGAGTAGTTCTACATATTTTTGAATAAGCAGTAACCTGCTGGAAGCGCTGCCACGGAGCTGCTGCACCTCTGTTTTCATTACTCCCTGACCCAGCACAGAGCCGACAAGACTGCCTGAGCCTTCAGCGGTGCTGGGGAAAGAAAAGATCAGGCTTGTTGTCAGCCCCGCGCCAGAGAAAGCACATTACTGGTACACACACAATGATAACGTGTGTACCAATGTACCGATGATAACAGGGCTTTGTATATGCTCACAAAGCATATAATAACTTACCTTGTTCTCATTTGCTGCATTCTGTCTGTTATGGTTTGGGTGCTTTTAAATGTCTTTAGAGCTATTTAGAATTACTCATCCTTCTGCGGCATGAAATGAGAATCTGAACTCAAACTGCTGGTACAGAGCTCGTCGCTGACTGTTTTCATCTCTGTATAATTACTTTTGAGATAGATTCCTTCACCAGGGGGAGATGACTCAGCTTTCCCAGGGACCAACGCACTGCTTTCTGTCTCTCTGATACCCCCTTGTTATAAAAAAGCCTTGCAGAAGGTGTCTGGGGCAAGCCATTGCCTAAAACCTCAGCCTTGCCTGGAGCTGGGTGCCAGGCACTCATCCAAGCCCAGCAGGGATGGGGCAGACACAGACATCCCCAGCAGAAGTCCCATCAGGAATCCCAAGGCAGGCTCGCCAGATAGCAGGAACTCTGTTTCCATGATAAGCACCGCAGTTCGGAAATTTCCTTTCATTCTTACGAGTCCCAGATAAGGGCATCAGAGCAGAACAGAAACACTGACTCTGCTCTTTCAGGGCTTCTCGGGTCTGACCAGTCATTTTACTGCTTTACAGGGAGCACTGGGGGAATACACACGTAGTGTTTAATGATGGATGCTCCCCACCAAACCTGTACAGCAAAGCCCGTGATTAACCCCTCAGTCAGCAACAGTGGTGGCAAGCCTGTCTAAAAAGAGCTGCTTTTTATTTCTCTTAAGCTCCATACACATAGAGGGGAGAGACAGGATTTAATTTCATCTGCATTAAGATCATATATTACTGGGTCACACAAGTGCCAAGCAAAACATAGCCAAAGCCTTGATGTTGCCAAAGACATCCAGTGACAATAGCAAAGGGACTTGATTTTAGTGCCAGATCTGTAAAATCCCTTAAAATGAACTAATAGCAGCCGTTAAGCAAATGTATGGTTTAAAGGTAGCAATTAATTTACAAGTTGTCAGGGGTCGCACCCCACACTTTCTGCAGATCAACAATTATCCGGCATTTAAATCCTTCCAGAAGGCAGTAACAATTACTTAGGACAATGATATTGTAGTTGCTGTTTTCTCGAAAGCACTTTGCTTTGAACAAAAACCTATTGTTGTATTTCATTTTCACACTGGTAGTGTTTCTCTTTTTACATTTTCCAAATGAAAACCAAATCCCAAAGTTTTCACACACCAAAAAAGGAAAAGAAAGCTGAAAACTGTTCTTTTTCTTCCATTCCCTCCCCGTTCCAGAAAGGATGTATTTAAAATCTTTTGACAAATCAAATACTTTCATAACCATTTCGTAGGGTTCTGTTGTGCTTTTTTTTGGCATTTGTAAGAATAACACTGTTCGTCTGCCCAAGCTGGAAGAGGAGGATGAGGTGGAGATTTGGCAGCAGCTGGGAGGGGGTGGCCGCAGCCAACAGCTCTGCAGCGCACACCCACCCCTTGGCTTCAGCTAGCACAGGACTCATGGACAAATGATTTCTGTCCATGAGCTGGGAAGCAAAGGCACATCCTGCTCAACCATGGCTGCAGCAAGGGCCATGACTGCTGCAAGGCCTTGAATCTTGTGCTAGATTTGAGTTAACTACCCAAAATGGCAGCCTGAACCCCGCAAGCACAGCTGTGCAGAGTCTGGAGCAGTCATCAAGCCTACCTGTGCATGGGGTCCCACCAAAGGTCCTCCCTGAAATTCAAGGCTAACCTATGCTATTCCTCTGTGGCTCCAGTCATTACATCTACATTTGATTTTGCATGAGAATAAATAAAGCAGGAAAGCTTTTAGCAAGGAGCATCTCTTCCATTCTCGGGTTTTAATAGCAAGATCTCCATCCCAAGCTCATCTGATGTTCTTTCTGAGAAGTAGGAACATCTCCACGAGGAGCATTCCCCACTGACATCAGGGTGTGATAAATCACCCTCAGAAGGCACTTGTTTCTGACAACAGCCCAGACACAGGGCCAGACAAAACAGATTTCATACAGCTCATCCACAGACGGGATTATTTAGGAAGAGCTTTGGTCAGGGTTGGCACTCCCATGCTCTTGGCTCTCTAGAGACAAGTGCACTTCAGCGTGTACCTCGTGGGAGCAGCCTAAGGCGATGCCCATGGAATCAATGAATAAATTCCTGCTAACCTCACCAGACATTGAATAAGGGGTGAAATATTTAGTCACCAGAATGAAGCTCAAGCTGTTGTTGGGTCCTTATTAAACAGACTTCAGGACCCCATCCAGCCCACACGCCCTGCTGCTCCCCACAGCCACACCTCTTCTCTGCGCGTTGTTCCCACGAGCAGCCAAATTGCTGAGCACTAAGGGATTTGTTGCACGAAGCTATAAGCCAGGCTCGTTTCTGTTTGCCATTAGCTGCTCACAAGAGGCACCCAGTCCCCACTGGTCACCTGGGCTCCCTCTGCTGTACTGGCACTGCTGGGGACCAGTCGCTCCCAGTGCCACGCAAGGTGCCCACTTCCCCTCTTCAAGCACTAGTTAGGCTAATTGGGATTAAATGCCAAATTTCTACCCGACTGTTTCAGGGCAACAAATCCCACTCACTGTGTTGCTGTGCCATGGAATGGACTTCTGCTTGCTTTAAGACCAAGGAATTGAACTGCAAATGCTGTTGTGCCCCCTTGTAGATGTTATTGCAGCTACAGCAACCTACAGGAACAAACCCTAACACCACACAAATGCAGCCACAGTGAGATTCACATTGCCATGCCCATTGCTGGCCAAATGATTACAGGTTTCAGAGCTCATCCAGGGAAAAAAAAGGTGGAAATCATTAAAACAGCAGGAAATGTGCAGACTGACACTAGAAGAAAACATCTTTGAGACCTGAAAAAGGTACTCACTTAAGGACTGCAAGAACTGGTAAGAACT